TTACCTTTTCCACTCCCTTTTTGTTTTTGTTGTCACAATTTATACCCTTTTTATGTTTAATTCCAAAAAGTTAGTCTTTTAAAATATATTTTTAATTTTTTAATTACTGTTGACATTTATTATTTTATAGTTACAGGTGGAGAGCATAGAAGGTTAGACATATATCTTATGAAGTGATCCCCCTGATAACTCTAGTAGTAGCCACCTGAATCATACATAGGTATTAAAATACTATTGACTATATTCTCTATTCTGTACTTTCCATCTTTATGAAAATTTGTAACTGTCACTTTCTATTTAATCCCTTCCCTCTTTTTACCCAGCTTCTTAATCCCACTCCTATCTAACAACCTTAGTTTGTTCTCTATGTTTATGAGATTGTTTCTATTTTTTGTTGTTTTATCTTCACCCAAGTATATTTTCCCATTCATTTTTAGAGAGAGTGGAAGGGATGGGGAGAGGCAGAGAGAAACATTAATGTGAGAGAGACACATCAATTTGTTGCCTCCTGCACACGAGGCCAATGCTCTATCCACTGAGTTAGGGATGTTTTTAAAAAATCAAAACATATTTTTATTGATTTCAGAGAAGAAGGAAGAGGAGAGATAGAAAGATCAATGATGAGAGACAATCATTAATTGACTGTCTCCTTCATGTCCCCCACTAGGTATTGAACCCTCAACCCGAACATGTGCCCTTACCAGGAATAGAACTGTGACTTTCTGGTTTATAGGTCTATTAGAGGCCCAGTGCACAAATTTCATGCACTAGGGGGGGGGAGGGGCGCGGAGGTTGTCTCTCAGCCCAGCTGCACACCCTGCAGTCTGGGATCCCTCAGGGGGTGTCCGACTGCCTGTGGGATGGGGCCTAAATCAGAAGCCAGACATACCTCTCACAATCCAGGACTGCTGGCTCCCAACTGCTTTCTTGTCTGCCTGCCTGATAACCCCTAACTGCTTCTGGCTGCCAGCCTGATCACCCCCTAACCACTCCCCTACCAGCCCAATTAACACCTGACTGCCCCCTGCCAGCCTGATTGCCCCTAACTGCCCTCCCCTGCGCCTGGTTGCCCACAGCTGCCCTTACCTTCCAGCCTGAAAGCCAGCCTGATTACACCTATCTGACTTCCCCTGCTGGCCTGGTTCCCCCCAAACTGCCCTCGCTCCCCTGCAGGCCTGGTTGCCCCCAACTGTCCTCCCCTGCTGACCCAGTCACCCCTAACTGTCCTCCCCTACCAGCCTGGTCGCCCCCCACTGCCCTTCCCTGCTGGCCTGGTGGCCCCTAACTGCCCTCCCCTGCTGACCTGATCGCCCATAATTGCCCGGCCATCTTGTGACTACCTGGGGACGGACATCTTGTGCAAAGGTTGTGGTGGTCAATTTACATATTACCTTTTTATTATATAGGATACTCAACCACTGACCCACACCAGCCAAGCAATAATTATCATTTTATTTTATTTTATTTTATTTTTTTATTATTTTATTTTTTCTCATTTTTTAAAAAATTAAGATATGATATGTGTACATACCTTACCGATCCCCACCCCCACTACCATACATGCCCTCCCTCCCCAGAGTTTTTCCGTTATTCTTATATGCATGCATACAAGTCCTTCGGTTGATCTCTTATCTCCCTCATATCTCCCTCCCCTCCCTGCTGTAATTTGACAGTCTGTTTCTTTTACTGTCTCTGTATCTATCTTTTTGTTCATCAGTTTATAATGTTCCTTATTATCCATAAATGAGTTGAGATCATGTGGTGTTTTTCTTTCATTGACTGGCTTATTTCACTGAGCATAATGTTCTCCAATTCCATCCAGGTTGCTGCAAATGATAAGAATTCCTTCTTTTTTATGGCAGCATAGTATTGTGTAGACATACCATAGTTTTTGGATCCAATCATTTGCAGATGGGCACCTAGGCTGTTTCCAAATCCTAGCTATTGTAAATTGTGCTGCTATGAACATAGGGGCGCATATATCCTTTTTTGATTGGTGTTTCTAGTTTCTTAGGATATATTGCTAGGAGTGGGATTACTGCGTCAAATGGGAGTTCCCTTTTCAGTTTTTTGAGGAAACTCCATACTATTCTCCACAGTGGCTGCACCAGTGTGCATTCCCACCAGCAGTGCATGAGGGTTCCTTTTTCTTCACAACCTCGAATATTTGTCATTTTAATTATGACTTGTCTTGTACAGTCCTCTTTGGGTTCATCTTGTTTGGGACTCTGTTTCATGGTTGTTGTTTTTTGTTTTTGTTTTTGTTTTTACCAGATTAGAGAAATTTTCAGTCATTATTTCTTCTTCAAATGGGTTCTCAATTCCTTGCTATCACTTTTCTTCTGATACCCCTATGATGTCAATGTTGTTATGCTTGATGTTGTTCCAGATGTTTCTTAACCTGTCCTCATTTTTAAAAATTGTTTTTTCTTTTTGCTGTTGTGATTTTTCTCCTCATTACCTTGTCATTCAGATCATTGAATTGATCATCTGCTTAATCTAATCTGATGTTTATTCCAGATAATGTATTCATTTCAGTTATATTCCTCACTTTTTCTTTTGACTGGTTCTTTTTTTTTTTAAGTTTATTGATTTTAGAGAGAGACGTAGGGAGAGGGAGAAGGAGAGAGAGATAGAAACTTTGATGAGGGGGAAACATCAATGTCAATTGGCTGCCTCTTGTACACCCCTTGCTGGGGAGCAAGCCTGCAACCTAGGCATGTACCCTGACTGGTATTTAAACTTGCAACCTCTTGTTGCATGGATTGATATTCATCACTGAGCAACACTGGCTGGGCATTGACGAGTTCATCTTAGGGTTTTTGTCTCTTTGTGTAAGTTCTTACTGAGATAATCTATTTTTCCCCTAAGTTCATGGAACATTTTTATAACCAGTGTTTTGAACTTTCTAGTAGATTGCTTGCCTCCATTTTATTATTTTTTTCTGGAATTTTCTTTTGTTCTTTCATTTGGGACATGTTTCTTTGTTTCCTCTTTTTACTTGCCTTCCTGTGTTTGTTTCTTTATATAAGGTAGATCTTCTACATCTTTCAGACTTTGCAGGGTGGCATTATTACATAGTAGGTGGGACCTGTGGGACCCAGTGTTAGAGACTCCTTTGAGGACTGTCCATGACTATAGAGGATGAGCGCTTATGCAGGTGCTGATCTTACAGAGGGAGATTAGCTGATGCCTGCTGATTTCACCTTTTGGGTGTGCCTTTTGTTGAGCTAATTGGATGGTGCTCTTGTTTTGTCTGAATCCAGCCAGTGGGTGTGTTGGCTCTGGGGCCTCTTGGGTGGAGCTCTGGTGGAGGACCATCTGAGCCACTGCCTGTGCCTGGCTACTGGCTACCTGATAGGAGCTACAAAGTGAGTGGCAGTTGGTAGCTGCCTCTGCTGGCCTTGGAGGCACCTGGGAAAGGTTTTGCTGAAAATGTAGGCCAACTGCCACTAGTGTTGGTCTTGGGGCAACTTAGCAAGAGGTACAGGTCATGCTGAGGCCATCCTCTATTTTTGAGGATTGTGGACTTTTGAGAGATTTTTGGAAAGTCCACATGTAGCATAGGTTGAGGCTGGCTCCTTGTGAGGAACAGCTATTAAAAGAGATTCAGGCTTGTGTGTGAGTTGGGTGGAGTGGAGGTCTCAAGGAAGCAGGATGGAGGAGTGGTGTTAGACTGTTTCATGGAGATTCAGAATTGCACCGGCTGTATAGGGGGAAGAGGGTTCCACAAAGCAACAATGTCCACTGGGTGGGAGGAGGGCTCAACAATGAAACAATGGCCCTTGCCAGCACTTCTCTCCTTCTAGGCCTCACCCAAAAGTCAGACAGTTTAGTTCATCCCCCTATGTCCCCAGACATTTGAGCTCCTGTCCTTTCTCTGGACTTAGTGCAAGTGTTTGTGAACAAGTAAGTGTGTGTGTAAAAACTTTCCGAGGAATGCCTGAATCTCCAGCAGTCTCCCTTCTTCAGCCACAATCTATGTCAGTTTTTACAGCCAGATATGTGGTGATTCCTTCTTATCAGCTCTGATGCTCTGGCTTGACTGCCTAGTGTGAATTTCTCATAGATTATTTGGTTGAATTGGCTCTCTGTTTCATTCTCCTTCTCATACACTTTATTGTTATATTGCTCTTTCTAATGGAGTCAGAAGTTCTCAGGAAGTTATTTTATTTTGTTAAACCTATCAGTTCTCTCCTTTCACCTGAATAATTTCTAGATTTCTATCTTTAAGATCACCAAATCTGTCTTCCATCTGTCCTGTTCTGTTTCCTAAGCTCTCTGATCCTTCATCTCACTTACTGAGTTTTTCAGCTCCAGAATTTCTGTTTTGTTCTTTTTTATAGTTTCAGTCTCTTTTGCAACATATTTGTTTTGCTTGTTGACAATCAGTTAGCATATTCCTTCTTTATTAAGTAAGATGCTTCAATGATTTTTCTGTTCATATGTTACCACACACACACACACACACACACACACACACACACACAGAGACCCACTTATTTTCACATAATTACTTTCAACACCCTGAGTCAGTAATTTTCAACCTTTTTAATCTCATGCCCACATAAATTAATTACTGAAGTTCTGTGGTATTCCAACATTTTTTTTTTTTTTTGCTGATCTGACAATAGAAATAGGTATAATTTTGATTCATTCACACCAGATGAATATTGTTGTATTGGCTATTGTCATTTTTTCATTTGACAATCTAAGGGAAAAGAGGTCAGTGTCCCTGGCTAAATAGTCAGGTATTTCATGTTTTAAAAATTCTGCTTTATACCAGTGTGCACATGGTTGAAAATCCCTGCTATAAGGCATAAAACCTATATGCATAATTCACAAAAATTCTAGTAGGGGTCAATGATTTATTTTCCTTATTGTAATAAGAATAAAATTTCATATTAATGCATATAAGTATGATTTTATAGTACTTGAATTAATAAAATGAATTATAAGTATTTAACTTTGTGTTTCATTCTCTTATCTTTATATTGAAGATTTTGGTGCCACTGGTTTTGCTACAACAAATGCTTTTGGAGTTGACAAGGCGTGGTCAAGAACCTTTGGGTACATTGCTACAGTTTGGTGTGACATATCTGGAAGACTATGCAGCAGAATACATCATCCAGCAAGGTGGCTGGGTATGAGTTCTACTTATTTTTTTTTAAATCATTATTATTGAAAGTATTACATATGTCCCCTTTCCCCCTCATTTACCCCTTCTAGCATGCCCTCACCTCCCGCCCCAGACCTTCACCACCCTATAGTCTGTGTACATGAGTTATGCATATATGCATATAAATTCTTTGGTTGATTACTTCCCACCTACCCACCCTCCCCTGCTTTCCCTCTGAGATTCCATAGTCTATTCCATGCTTCCATGTCTCTGGATCCATCAGTTTATTTTGTTGATTAGACTCCACATATGAGGGAGTTACGTGATACTTGTCTTTCTCTGACTGGCTTATTTCACTAAACACAATACTCTCCAGGTACCTCCATGCTGTCTCAAAGGGTAAGAGTTCTTTTTTTGAAAATTTAAAAACATACATTTTTTATTTCTTTTTACATAGAAGAAGGGAGAGGGATAGAGAGTTAGAAACATAGATGAGGGAGAACCATAGATCAGCTGCCTCTTACACATCTCTCACTGGGGATGTGCCTGCAACCAAGGTACATGCCCTTGACTGGAATCGAACCTGGGACCTTTCAGCTCTATCCACTGAGCTAAACCGATTAGGGCAAGATCCTTCTTTTTTACTGATGCATAATATTCCATGGTATAAAGGTACCACAGCTTTTTTATCCACTCATCTACTGATGCTCTCATGGACTGTTTCCAGATCTTAGCTATTGTAAATTGTGTTGCTATGAACAGAGGGGTGCATATATTCCTTCTGATTGGTGTTTCAGGTTTCTTAGGATATATTTCCAGAAGTGGGATCACTGGGTCAAATGGCAGTTCCACATTTAATTTTTGAGGAAACTCCATATTGTTTTCCATAATGGCTGCAACAGTCAGCATTCCCACCAGCATTGTGTACTAGGGTTCCCTTTTCTCTACTTTGTTGCCAGCACTTGTTGATTTGTTGATGATAGCCTTTCTGACAATTGTAAGGTGATACCTTGTTGTCATTTTAATTTGCATCCCTCTGATGATCAGTGACTCTGAGCATTTTGTCATGTTTCTTGGCCATCTGTGTGTCCACTTTGGAGATGTCTCTATTTAGGTCCTTTGCCCATGTTTTAATTGGATTGTCTTTCTTTTGTTAAGTTGTATGAGTTCCTTATATATTTTGGATATCAACCCTTTACCAGATGTGACATTGCCAAATATGTTCTCCCATACAGTGGGCTCCCTTTTCATTTTGTTGATGGTTTCTTTTGCTTTGCAGAAGCTTTTTATTTTGATGTAGTCCTATTTATTTTCTTCTTTTTTTGTCTTTCCCTAGGAGATGTATCTGTAAACATATTGCTACAAAAGATGTCTGAGCTTTTGCTGCCTGTGGTTTCTTCTAGGACAGTGGTTGGCAAACTCATTAGTCAACAGAGCCAAATATACAACGATTGAAATTTCTTTTGAGAGCCAAATTTTTTAAACTTAAACTTCTTCTAATGCCACTTTTTCAAAATAGACTTGTCCAGGCCATAGTATTTTGTGGAAGAACCACACTCAAGAGGCCAAATAGCTGCATTTGGCTCGTGAGCCGCAGTTTGCTGACCATGGTTCTAGAATATTTACAGTTTTACAACTTACATGTAAATCTTTTATCCATTTTGAATTTATTCTTGCGTATGCTATAAGTTGGTGATCTAGTTTCATTTTTTCACATGTATCTGTTCAATTTTCCAAATTTCATTTATTGAAGAGACTGTCTTAATTCCATTTTATTTTCTTGCCTACTTTGTCAAATTTTAATAGAGCGTAAAGTCTTGGTTCAGTTTCTAGGGTATCTGTTCTGTTCAGTTTCTAGGGTATCTGTTCTATTCCCTATATGCCTGTTTTTGTGCCAATGCCAAGCCGTTTTGATTGCAGTGGCTTTGTAGTATAACTTGATATCTGGTATTGTGATTCCTCAAATTATGTTCTTCTTTCTCAAGATTGCTGCAGCTATTTGGGTCTTTCTGGTTCCATATAAATTTTTGGAGTATTTGTTCTAGATCTGTGAAATATGATATTATCATTTTAATAGGGATTGCATTGAATCTGTAGATTGATTTGGGTCATATGGATATTTTAATGTTATTAATCCTATTAATCTATATGAACACTGTATTTCACCCCCACTTATTTACATCTTGCTCTATCTCTTTTTTTAATGTCCTATAGTTTTCCCAGTATACGTTTTTTACTACCTTGGTTAAGTTTATTCCTAAGTATCTTAATATTTTTGTTGAAATGATAAGTGGAATTGTTTATTTTGTTTCTCTTTCTGAGAATTCATTATTGATGTATAAAAAAGCCATCAATTTTGGGGTGTTGATTTTGTATTCTGCTACATTGTCAAATTAATTTATTAAGTCTAGTAGTTTTTTGGTGGAGTCTCTAGAGTTTTCTATGTACAATATTATGTCTTCTGTGAATAATGAGAGTTTTACTTCCTCATTTCCAATTTGGATGCCTTTAATTTCTTCTTGTCTGATCGCTGTGGCCAAGCCTTCCAGTACTATGTTGAATAACAGTGGTGAAAGCATACATCCCTCCTTCTTGTTTATAGAGGAAATTGTCTTAGTTTTTGTCACATATGGCCTTTATTATGTTGAGATATGCGCCCTCTATTCTCACTTTGCTGAGAGATTTTATAATTTGTGCAGGGGTTGGGGGTGTCCCTCAACCCAGCCTATGCTCTCCTATCTGGGACATCCCTTTCACAATCTGGGACTGCTCACTCCTAACCACTTTGCTGAGAGATTTTATAAAAAATTAGAGGCCTACTGCATGAAATTTGTGCAGGGGGTGGAGGGTGTCCCTCAATTCAGCCTGTGCTCTCCCATCTGGGATATCCCTTTCACAATCCAGGACTGCTCACTCCTAACTGCTTACCTGTCTGCCTGCCTGCCTGATTACCCCTAACCATTTCTGCCTGCCAGACTGACCACCCCCTAACTGCTCCCCTGCTGGCCTGATTGAACCTAATAGTCCAATCGCCCCCAATTGCCCTCCCCTGCCAGCCTGGTCACCCCCAGCTGTCTTCTCCTGCAGGCCTGATTGCCCCATCTGCCCTCCCTGCAGGCCTGGTTTCCCACAACTGCCTTCCCCTGCAGGCCTGATCTTGCCCCCAACTGTGCTTTCCTGCTGGCCATCTTTGGCAGCCATCTTATGTTGGTGTAAGAATGGCCATCTTGTGATGACATCATGTGATGCCACCTAGGCTTTTATTATATAGGATGGATATTAGATTTTGATGAATGCTTCTTCTGCATCAATTGATATGATTGTGTGATTTCTGTGTTTCAGTTTGTAAGTGATATATCACATTTATTGATTTGATGATATTGTACCAGCCTAGCATCCCTGAAATAAATCCCACTTGGGCATGTTGTGTGATCTTTTTAATATATTGCTTGATCTGATCTATTAGTATTTTTGAGGATTTTAGCATCTATGTTCTTTATTGGCCTATAATTCTTTCTTTGCAGCGTCTTTATTTTGTTTTGGAATTAGGATATTGCTGGCCTCATGATAAGAGCTTGGATGTGTCCCTTCCTCTTGGATTTTTTTGGAATAGTTTGAGTATATAAGTATTAGTTCTTCTTTGAATGTTTGATAAAACTGCCCTGTGAAATGGTCTAGTCCTAGGTTTTTGTTTGCTGAAAGTTTTTTATTACTGCTTCCACCTCCTCAGTTGTTACTACTGTGTTTCCCCGAAAATAAAACATCCTCCGAAAATAAGACCTACAGGTTTCCTTCTGAGTGAAATATAAGGCATCCCCCCAAAATAAGGCCCCCCCCCCCAGGCTCTGTCTCAGAATGAAAATTAATTTACAAACAAACAAACAAACAAACAAAAAACCTCCCAACTGCCCTAAAATCCAGTTCTGGGTGAGACTTTGAATACCCAGACTCATTAGGGGAGAAACTGGACTGTCTGACAGTGAGCAAAACTCGAGAGCAGGCTTCTCTCAATGGTGTGTGCAGCCACTGCTGTGGGACACTGAGACACAGGGGCCTCTCAGGGTGAGGCTGATGGGAAACCAAGGCTGTCTTATCTATCCTGAGGCTCTGCCCAATCCAATTCTGAGCACAGAAGCTCTCCCAGCATAGACACAGCTGATCCTCACAGCCAACTGGCCTGGAGGTCAACTCTCCCAGTGATACTAACAACAATCTAGGCTTAACTACAAAAAGATAGCACACACAGCCCACAAAGGGGCACACCAAGAGTGTCCACCTCAGATAACTGGGGAGGCTGAATCATTGGACCCTGCTAGGACACCTACCATGTTTCCCCGAAAATAAAACATCCTCTGAAAATAAAACCTACTTACAGGTTTCCTTCTGAGTGAACTATAAGGCATCCCCCCAAAAATAAGTTCCCCCAGGCTCTGTGTCAGAATGAAAATTAATTTACCTTAAACTGGTCGCTAGGGCCGCCCCGACTGGCGTCTAGCAACCAGTGACGTTACGTGGAGTCCTGACGTCACTGCTGAGCGGAGGTCGGAGTGAGCATTGAGCGCGGGGCGGGAGAGAGGAGGAGACTTTTGCAGATGCGTGTAGAAGAACAGGAAGATTAGAGTGGATGGGATCCAACGAAGGTGGTGAGTGCTGGTCTGTCTCTGGTGACACTACCTGAATGCTCGCAGCCGCCCTCATGATGACTGAAGGTTCTCAGTCAGTGGCAGACCCTGCCCCAGCCCAGATCCAGGCCCCAGCAAGCCCAGTGACAGTCCCCAGACAGGCCCCAGGGGGTAAATGTCTGATAAAGGGGTAGGGGGGATGTCTGGTGAAGGTGTTCAGTGGCACAGGAGTGGGGGGAGAGGGATCACTTAAAATGATACAGGAGGATCAGAGGGGGCAATCAAAATGACACAGGAGGATCAAAAGGGGTTACTAAAATGGTAATTCCCCCTCTGATTCTCCTGTGCCATTTTGATTCCCCCCTCTGATTCCCCCTGTGTCATTTTAAGTGATCCCCCTCCC